ATATCCTATTTTTGATAACAAAGGCTTACTCCTTTGGGTCCCTCCCATTTGGATACCCCTGAGAGGTTTAAAATCACTGAGCACTACCTTTTATTAAACATTTTTCCTGAGATGTCTTTTTTTTTTTTACTATAACACATTAACATGTTCAGCAGACAGAAGAAGCCAACTGATTAAATAAGTAACATTCTAAAATGATCAATGGTAACCCTTATTGTTGTTATAACCAAAAGAATAAACAGGCATCACTAAGCAGCAGAGAAGTCAGTATTTTATTCAAACAGATCCAAAAAATCCCATACATGCAAAACATGGCATGCTGTACAAAAAACAATGTTGAAATCATCAATTTTTGAACTTCTTCCCAGTTTGAGAATAACAGTGTCACGAGAATTTATCTGCTCTACAGTGCTCTACGAGACCCTACGGTCCTGACAATACCTAGAATACATAATCTAATCTAATCAGAAGGAAAAGACATTTAGTACAGGGGATGGAAACAACCACCCCTCAAACCCGGCATGGCCGTCCTGCCTGATGGTGTAGATGCATACTGCTCCATTAGCTTGGCCCAGCAGTGCTGAAGTCAATAGGAATTTTGTGTATCACTTCAGTGGAAACAGGTTCTGTGATAACATGGACCTCTGAAAGGAGGGAGGCAATATGAGTAAATGCATAACACTGATGCAAGTATAAAGCGCAAAGAAAGAAAAGATATGTTGGGATTATAGCTGAGCTCCTTCAAAATGAAAAGATACCTTACAGCTTCTCACACATTTCCTTTGCTAGCCAGAGAATGTCTCTTCTTTGAAGAGATCTGTCCAAATCCTTCTCATGCTAACTCTTCCTATGGCTGAATAGATTGTATTATTTAAGCTGTTACAAAAAATAAGATTAAGAAATTCTTCAACTGGGACAATTTAAACTATCAAACCATATCTTAATCAAATGCCTATTCTGTAAGCATTTAAGATCTATTTCTGAACTGAATGAATAAATAAAAATGTAGCATGGTGATGTTTTACATTTCTTAATATATTTTAGTCGCAGTAATTGTAATTATTTTGAATACTCAGGAGATATTAAAAAGTCTAACTTGTTTGTGTGTGCATGTGCAAGCACAGATCTAAAAATTCACATATATACAAAAATATATTCAGGAAGAATCTTGCAAAAATTAATGAAAATTTATTAAGTACAACATGGCAATTAAGTTTCTGAAAGGGATAATTAATTTCTGCAAAGGCTGTAAGTGTCCTCTTGAAGATATTCAACTGAAAGGATGATCTGAGACAAATAATTTTTCTACAATACACCTTCTTTTGCAAAAATCGCTATGCTTCTCAAGCAACATTATTTTCTTTGAAAATTTGTTATTTTGAAAACAGAAATCAGATATGAAAAATGCAAAGATGACTGATTTCAAAAGGTTTCACTTGTCTACAAAATGATTATTCAAAATGTTTTTATCATGCAAAACGTTTTCAAAATCAAGTAGAAATGATGTGTTCCCAATCCTGAATTCTCTGGGAATTCCTCAGTTGACAATTTTTTCCAGTCCAGTTAGGAGGCAACCATCTCTACCATGTCTCCAAGACAATGAAAAGAGAGCAGTCTCAGCACAGAGCACAAAGAAACAGCCTGACTTTGTTTCTCTGAACTGCCCGTGTGAGGAACCAATGGTCACCCTCCCCTAAAGAAAGACGAACTTTAAACAAATCTCCTGTGTTATGCCTCTAAGTTAACACAACGTGAATACCCACCACAGCATCCAAAATCCAAAAAGGATAAAAAGGGAGACTCAGGCAATGCTGTCCTGAAAAATTGGTTCACTAAGAACATACTTTAAATGGCAGGTCATAAGAATTAGGAAAAACAAATTGACTCCATTTATCAGATTAGCCTCACTAGGAAAAAGGCTAAACATAATACACTTCAGACATACCTATTTCCAGCTCCCACCATTTTACTTTTGGTAATGTCTGTAGCACAGCACTCAAGGTAAGGAAAGGCCAGTTCCAGTCTCAGCTGAATGTTCTTTCTTCTGGTGAAACATTTAATAATAACTAAGCATTCAGGGGTTTGTTTGGTATTGCATTTGTTTCATCTAATCAGAGAGTGTTTAACCCATTTATCTATGAAAGCAACATAAAGGTTTCTACTGATTTCATTTGACTACAAATCAGATGCCAGATCTATCACACACACACAAGCAAAATAATAATCCATCTCTGCTTCATAGGAAACTTCCTCATAGAAAAAGTAATCTTAATGAAAATAAAGACTTCTGATAACAGAGGACAGTTCACACTTTAACTAGAAGATAAATAATGTTAATGAATAAGGATTGAAATAGATTTTTAAAAAATCCCTTTTTCTTTTACAGTTTAAATAAAAGCTTATTTATTACTGGAAAACTGCAGACATTAGCTTGTAAAATTATGAAACACAGAAAGATGAAAGCAGTTGTAACAATGAAGTTAAGCACTTTAACATTACTTCTGTTGATAAGATTTTTAGAATCAACTCTTGGCTTTCGTCTCCAAAAATATGGATGGAACAACAACTCAGGTCATTGCTTTTTCAATTTACAAAAGAAAAATAACTTCAATTTTTCAACTTCTGCAGGCTCTCACTGCTTAAAAAACAAAAACAAAGCAAGCCCAATACAATAAATAACACTAGTTCTTAGAACAGTACTGGCAACCCATAAGGTTGCCCTATCGGGCTCTGATGAAAAGGGTTTCATCAGGAGTTGTAGGACAATTCTCGTTCTCAGTAACAGTCTCTACTGTGCCTGAAGCAGACACAATCACTACCGTTTTAGCTGCTGAAAGAGCTTTCTCCTTCTCTGCGATGGCAGCACAGACTGCCACAATTTCATCACTTTCAAAGTCATAGTCTGGGATTGACTCTTGTGCAAGCTCTTTTTCTTTTGCGAGTGCTTGCACTGCCTCAGTCTTTGTTGCCTTCTGCTGTTCATGTAGTTTTCTTGCCCAGGAAAGGTCCTCCTTCCATACTTCAGGATTCATTGGAAAGATGTGTAAGGATACCTGGAAGCTTCGGATCGCCTATAAACAGAATAGTGAAGAAACAAGGATTGGGAACTTCAAAGCCTACATATTTCATCATAGAAATTAACACCAAAACAAATTATGTACATCATTCAAGCAAAGACAAAAATGATTTTACTCCAGTCTGTCTTTAGTGGAACAATCCTCCCTCAGCTGTAAGTTCAACAGCAGTGTTACACCCAAACAACTGTGCATACAAGTGTCAGAAGGTACCAAGAATGCATGAACAAATCAGGCACCTGGCAACAAGGGCACAAATAAGAGTTCATGTGTCATAAAAATAATAGTGAAATTAAAAAGGTAAAAACAAAAGTAATTTTTGTTTTGACAGTTTTCTATCCCACTTTTCTCCTATCATCAGATGTATGGGAAGGCAAAAGCAGACAGATATGGTTTAAAGAAATACAGAAAAGGGATGACTGGGATTTATAGAATCATAGAATAGAATCATAGAGTAGTTTGGGTTGGAAGGGACCTCTGAAGGCCATCTAGTCCAACCCCCCTGCCGTGGGCAGGGACATCTTCAACTAGATCAGGTTGCTCAGAGCCCCGTCCAACCTGACCTTGAATGTTTCCAAGGATGGGGCATCCACCACATCTAAGGCAGAGAAACCTAAATTAAATTTCAGACCAAGCCTGGTTACTCACTTCTTAGATAGCTTTTGCGGTCTTGCTGCTTCTTGCAAAGTGACAGCAAAATGGCCGCAAGTCTTAGAGCTGCTTGTGTATCTGTGTGCTACACTTAGCCCCTTCTGTATGCAAACCCACTGTAAATTAGTATAACCAAAGGAAGGAAAAAGGAAGCAAAAACAATAAGAAGGGAAACAGACTACCAAACCCCACACAGTTTCTTAGACACAGAAGTTCTGGAGGTTCCTGCTCTCCTGG